CTATTACTTGGGAAACATAAAAATAGGTTAGACAAATATTTCTATTGGAGGCTGGATAGAGAAGGCCTGTTTCATTGTTCATTCTCTGTAATGTGCTTGTGTAGTATTAACAGGAGAGACTATGTGATGGCAGGGTTTACTGTTTTCAGGAGGATTTTTGCTAAGACTTCAGGGATGGTGAAGCTGCCTTTTTGTTTAATTGTATTAGAAACAGCTATTAGTGAAGACTCAAGGCACTTGCGTCTGCGGAAATTAGTTTCTTTGATCACTAGTTAGGCGTCCCTGAACTTCATGAGATGATTGGTGGAACTTCGGTGTTGTACACAGGCGTTGTTCAAGTTATCGTTCCTACATGCGTAAATGTGTTCATTGAGGCAGGTGTCGAGGTTTCTTGCTGTTTCACCTACATAAATCTTGTCGCAGCCTCCACAGGGTATAGTGTAAACTCCTGCGTTGACTGGTTCATGGTGCTTGGATTTTGTTCTGGTTAGATCCTTTATCGAAGTGCTGGAAGCGATGGCGACTTGTGTCCTTTTTCCTTTACATTTTTTTTTTTTCAACAAGTCGGCCGTCTCCCACCAAGGCAGGGTGACCCAAAAAAGAAAGAAAATCCCCAAAAAGAAAATACTTTCATCATCATCATTCAACACTTTCACCACACTCACACATTATCACTGCTTTTGCAGAGGTGCTCAGAATACAACAGTTTAGAAGCATATACGTATAAAGATACACAACATATCCCTCCAAACTGCCAATATCTCAAACCCCTCCTTTAAAGTGCAGGCATTGTACTTCCCATTTCCAGGACTCAAGTCCGACTATATGAAAATAACCGGTTTCCCTGAATCCCTTCACTAAATATTACCCTGCTCACACTCCAACAGATCGCCAGGTCCCAAGTATCATTCGTCTCCATTCACTCCTATCTAACATGCTCATGCACGCTTGCTGGAAGTCCAAGCCCCTTGCCCACAAAACCTCCTTTACCCCCTCTTTCCAACCCTTTCGAGGACGACCCCTACCCCTCCTTCCTTCCCCTATAGATTTATATGCTTTCTATGTCATTCTACTTTGATCCATTCTCTCTAAATGACCAAACCACCTCAACAACCCCTCTTCTGCCCTCTGACTAATGCTTTTATTTACTCCACACCTCCTAATTTCCGCACTCCAAATTTTCTGCATAATATTTACACCACACATTGCCCTTAGACAGGACATCTCCACTGCCTCCAACCGTCTCCTCGCTGCTGCATTTACCACCCAAGCTTCACATCCATATAAGAGTGTTGGTACTACTATACTTTCATACATCCCCTTCTTTGCCTCCATAGATAACGTTTTTTGACTCCACATATACCTCAATGCACCACTCACCTTTTTTCCCTCATCAATTCTATGATTAACCTCATCCTTCATAAACCCATCCGCCGACACGTCAACTCCCAAGTATCTGAAAACATTCACTTCTTCCATACTCCTCTTCCCCAATTTGATATCCAATTTTTCTCTATCTAAATCATTTGATACCCTCATCACCTTACTCTTTTCTATGTTCACTTTCAACTTTCTACCTTTACACACATTCTCAAACTCATCCACTAACCTTTGCAATTTTTCTTTAGAATCTCCCATAAGCACAGTATCATCAGCAAAAAGTAACTGTGTCAGTTCCCATTTTGAATTTGATTCCCCATAATTTAATCCCACCCCTCTCCCAAACACCCTAGCATTTACTTCTTTTACAACCCCATCTATAAATATATTAAACAACCATGGTGACATTACACATCCCTTTACATATTGTCGGTAATTCTACCAACTTTATTACATTCTGTATGTCGTTATCATATCCCCTCAATCTCTCCTGTCCTCCAGTGTCGTCCGGTCGATTTCTCTTAACCTCTCCTTGTAGGACATACTCCTTAGCTCCGGGACCAGTCTACTTGCAAACCTTTGCACTTTCTCTACTTTCTTTACATGCTTGGCTAGGTGTGGGTTCCAAACTGGTGCTGCATATTCCAATATGGGCCTAGTGTACACAGTGTACAGGGCCCTGAATGATTCCTTATTAAGATGTCGGAATTCTGTTCTTAAGTTTGCTAGGCACCCATAAGCTGCTGTAGTTATTTGGGTGATGTGCGCCTCAGCAGATGTGCCTGGTGTTATACTCACCTCAAGGTCCTTAGCGCTGAATGAGGTTTGTAGTCTCTGGCCCCCTAGACTGTACTCTATCTGCAGTCTTCTTTGCCCTTCCCCATACTTCATGACTTAGCACTTGGTGGGGTTGAACTCCAGGAGCCAGTTGCTGGACCAGGTCTGCAGCCTGTCCAGATCCCTTTGTAGTTCTGCCTGGTCTTCGATCGAATGAATTCTTCTCATCAACTTCACGTCATCTGCAAACAGGGACACTTCGGAGTCTATTCCTTCCGTCATGTCGTTCACAAATACCAGAAACAGCATTGGTCCTAGGACTGACCCCTGTGGGACCCTGCTGGTCACAGGCGCCCACTCTAACACCTCGCCACATACTATGACTCGCTGCTGTCTTCCTGACAAGTATTCCCTGATCCATTGTAGTGTGTGTGTGTGTACTCACCTATTTGTACTCACCTATTTTCTGTTGCAGGGGTCGAGTCCTAGCTCCTGGCCCCGCCTCTTCACCGGTTGCTACTAGGCCCTCTCTCTCCCCGCTCCATGAGCTTTATCAAACCTCGTCTTAAAACTGTGTATGGTTCCTGCCTCCACTACGTCATTTTCTAGGCTATTCCACTGCCTTACAACTCTATGACTGAAGAAATACTTCCTACTATCTCTCTGACTCATTTGTGTCTTCAACTTCCAATTGTGGCCTCTTGTTTCTGTGTCCCCTCCCTGGAACATCCTGTCTTTGTCCACCTTGTCTATTCCACGCAGTATTTTATATGTCGTTATCATGTCTCCCCTGACCCTCCTGTCCTCCAGTGTGGTCAGGCCGATTTCCCTTAATCTTTCCTCATAGGACATTCCCCTTAGCTCTGGAACTAACCATGTCGCAAACCTTTGTACTTTCTCTAGTTTCTTGACGTGCTTTATCAAGTGCGGGTTCCAAACAGGTGCTGCATACTCCAGTATGGGCCTGACATACACGGTGTACAGTGTCTTGAATGATTCCTTACTAAGGTATCGGAATGCTGTTCTCAGGTTTGCCAGGCGCCCATATGCTGCAGCAGTTATCTGATTGATGTGTGCTTCCGGAGACATGCTCGGTGTTATACTCACCCCAAGATCTTTCTCCTTGAGTGAGGTTTGCAGTCTTCGGCCACCTAGCCTATACTCTGTCTGTGGTCTTCTGTGCCCCTCCCCCATCTTCATGACTTTGCATTTGGCAGGATTAAATTCGAGAAGCCATTTGCTGGACCAGGTGTCCAGTCTGTCCAGGTCTCTTTGAAGTCCTGCCTGGTCCTCATCAGATTTAATTCTCCTCATTAACTTCACATTATCTGCAAACAGGGACACTTCTGAGTCTAACCCTTCCGTCATGTCGTTCACATATACCAAAAATAGCACTGGTCCTAGGACCGACCCCTGTGGGACCCCGCTCGTCACAGGTGCCCACTGTGATACATCATTACGTGTGTGTGTGTGTGTGTGTGTGTGTGTGTGTGTGTGTGTGTGTGTGTGTGTGTGTGTGTGTGTGTGTGTGTGTGTGTGTGTGTATGTATGTATGTATGTATCAGAGAAAATGTTCAAGGAAAACCTTGTTTGCTGTGGCCTATATGTTTTTGAATTTTATTTCCCTTAAGGAAGGTTCCTTGATGCTGGTGAGGAGCTCTTGATCCAAGGGATTGTATGTGTCTTTTTTCCTTCCTTGAATCAAACCTCATTTCCTCCCATTCCCCAAGTGCTGGATGACCCCTATGGGTTTAGCAGTTCCCCTAATAATAAAAATTAATAATAATAAATAATAATAATTAATTGGAATTTGTTAGGGCTTATCTATGGTGGGGGAATCTTATGGTAGTTGCTGTCTCTTATATATAAATATTGCTCTAAAGACAAAAAGGAAGTTGGTTGATTCATTATTAATATACTTTTTTTTTTAAGGAAATAGAAAATAATCATACATATTTTTATTATACAGTTTATATTTCAATTGGAATTTGTTTAACATATATTTTATGGTGTTAAAGTTGTGTAATACTGACATGAATCTTTGATTGAATTGACATGCAAATCATTTTATAGGCAGCTAAAAAGGTCAGTTGGGTATTTGGTATTTCCTTGATAGAAGATAGTTTGTTCTTTTATTATTTTCATGGCCCATATAATTCCAAGGCTACTTTTCAGTGACACCCATATGTCGTTTTTATTGAAGCACCAACAGACTCAAATTATTGAAGTGTATGAAATTTTTGCATTAGGCAATCTGATCTTATTTTCATAATTCCTTGCTTTGCATGTTGATATAGTGTTATAATATAATGTTTTTGACTTTAAGGCATGTGTTCTTTGTTTATATTTATATATGTATATACATATATATATGAATGTCTGTTGTGCTTTTTAGCCTGAATTTGTGATCTTGGCTTACAAAGCAAGGATCTCTCTACCAGACAAGTCTGATATATATTGTATTTTTTTCTGCAGCTCACCATAAATCAGCGTCAATATCATTGATATTGAATGATGATAATCGGAGTTAGGCTGACCTTAGATAGCCAAGGTGAAAATAAAGTGTAGTATGATATGTAAATTCTAATAAAGTTAGGTAAGACTGCTACAGTTAATTTTGATGCAAAATTTAAAATGTACTTATGATATTGATTCTCACTGATGTTTCTGTCAATTCATAAAAAATGTTGAAGCAAAATAATCTTAAGTAGACTGTTTGTTCACTCTGGCTAAAAAGCACTACTCTTTAGAATTGATTGTCATGGTTAATTTAATCTTTTTCTCCTTTATGAATAATAATTACAGTACTTAAAAATATGATGGTTGTTTTTATGCCACTGTAGGATGTTGGGACACAAGCAGTAGTAACGGAGTATCTTGTTCGGTATGTGGACCTTATATTCAACGACAAGATTCCCACTTTCTCACATTCCACCAATGGAGTGGAGGGGACACCAAAGAAGTCACGCCCAAAATCTCTTGCCATATCTACTCCCACCAAGCTAATATCAATAGAAGAAGCCAGGTCCAGGGCTCTCAGCACAGCTATTAAACCTGACCAAAAATACATAGAAGTGGGTAAGTATGTACTGTACATACAAAGCATGTAGTGTAATTGCTTCTATAAATTGGTTGCTATATTTATGAAATGAAAACAAGTAGGATATGAATTTGCATGCAGTATATTTTTACATTTCACAAAAGTCAGATAAACTTTAAGTTTTTCATGTTATACTTTATACAGTGGACCCCCGCATACCGATTTTAATCCGTGCAAGAGGGGTCATTGTTATGCGAAATAATCGGTATGCGAATGAATTTTCCCCATAAGAAATAATGGAAATCAAATTAATCCGTGCAAGACACCCAAAGGTATGAAAAAAAAATTTTTACCACATGAAATATACATTTTCCCACACACAAAGAGAAGGATACATGCACAATAGTAGAGTAGTACATGCACAGTATATATTGTGCATGTACTAGTCTACTAAATGAAGAATAAATGACACTTACCTTTATTGAAGATGCAGCAATGACTGATGAGACACTGTGTCCTGGGAGTGCCTTTTCCTCCTGAGTACTGTAGGTCCTGTTTGGCATTCTCTTCCAGAACAGGCCTTATCACACTGTGTATGCCACTACGATTCTTAAATCTCTCAAACCAACCTTTGCTGGCTTTAAATTCACCAATATGAGCACTAGTTCCAGGCATTTTTCCCTGTTCACCTGGGTGTTAGTCGACTTGTGTGGGTTGCATCCTGGGAGACAAGATTAAGGACCCCAATGGAAATAAGTTAGACAGTCTTCGATGACACTGACTTTTTTGGGTTATCCTGGGTGGCAAATCCTCTGGGGTTAATTGTTTCTTGGTATTCTCAGTAAGCCACACCAACAACGGTGCTACAGCAGCAGCAGCAGCTGACGGTGGTACAGCAGCAACAGACGATGCTACAGCAGCAGCAGACGATGCTACAGCAGCAGCAGCAGCTGACGGTGGTACAGCAGCAACAGACGATGCTACAGCAGCAGCAGACAATGCTACAGCAGCAGCAGACGATGCTACAGCAGCAGCAGCAGCTGACAGTGCAGCAACAGCAGCAGCTGACAGTGCAGCAGCAGCAGCAGCTGTACCACCAATAGTAGCAATGATGGTTGATTGGGGTTTATTATACAACCTGGCCAGCTCGGAGACACGCACTCCACTTTCATACTTATCAATGATCTTTTTCTTCATCTCTATTGTAATTCTCACCCTTATTGCTGTAGGGTTGGCACTAGAAGCTTTCTTGGGGCCCATGGTCACTTATTTTCCAGAAAAAGCACCGAAAACACTGTAATAATACGAAATATTCCGATTGTATGCTTGGATGTTACCGCGGAGGCTGGCTGGTAAACAATGCCACCGGCGGAACATGTGAGCGTGGCTCAGGCCACACATTGGACACGTCTCGGACGAAAATCGGTGAGCGGGTTTTTAAGCGGTATGTGAGGCAAAATTTTTGCGATTAAAGCAAGCGGTATGCGGATTAATCGCTATGTGATGCCATCGGTATGCAGGGGTCCACTGTATATGCATTCAGTACAGTACCCTCCAAGGCTTCTGTAGAGCCACTTGTGTACCTGGAGTTTACCTGGAGAGAGTTCCGGGGGTCAACGCCCCCGCGGCCCGGTCTGTGACCAGGCCTCCTGGTGGATCAGATCCTGATCAACCAGGCTGTTGCTGCTGGCTGCACGCAAACCAACGTACGAGCCACAGCCTGGCTGGTCAGGAACCGACTTTAGGTGCTTGTCCAGTGCCAGCTTGAAGACTGCCAGGGGTCTGTTGGTAATCCCCCTTATGTATGCTGGGAGGCAGTTGAACAGTCTCGGGCCCCTGACACTTATTGTATGGTCTCTTAACGTGCTAGTGACACCCCTGCTTTTCATTGGGGTGATGTTGCATCGTCTGCCAAGTCTTTTGCTTTCGTAGTGAGTGATTTTTGTGTGCAAGTTCGGTACTAGTCCCTCTAGGATTTTCCAGGTGTATATAATCATGTATCTCTCCCGCTTGCGTTCCAGGGAATACAGTTTTAGGAACCTCAAGCGCTCCCAGTAATTGAGGTGTTTTATCTCCGTTATGCGCACTATGTCTGCTGTATACAGTACAACCTGACCCTTAAATTATTATTATTATTATTATTATTATTTAGATAAAGGTAAAGAGGTTTTTGTAGCACTTATGGATTTGGAAAAGACAAATGATAGGGTGGATATGGGGGCAATGTGGAAGATGTTGCAAATGTATGGAATAGGAGGTAGGTTACTGAAAGCAGCAAAGAGCTTTTATAAAGATAGTGAGGATCAGGTTAGAGTACGTAGGAGAGAGAGAGAGAGATTATTTTCCATTAAAAGTAGGCCTTAGATAGGGATGTGTGATGTCACCATGGTTGTTCATTATATTAATAGATGGGGATGTAAGAGAAATGTGGGAGTTGTCACAGTTGCTTTTTGCTGATGACACTGTGCTTTTGGGAGATTCTGAAGAGAAGTTGCAGATGTTGGTAGGGTATGTGAAAGAAGGAAATTAAAATTGAACATAGGAAAGAGAAAGGTGATGAGGATAACAAAATATTTAGATAATGAAAGATTGGATATCAGATTGGAGAGAGGGAGTATGGAGGATATTTAGGAGTGGACTTATCAGCAGATGGGTCTATGAGAGATGAGGTGAATCATAGAATTGATAAGGAGGAAAAAGGTGAGTGGTGCACTGAGGAGTCTGTGGAGACAAAAAATAATAAATAAAAAAATAAAATTTTGTTTCTTTGCTGAAGTTACAATGTGTGTTTACATTCCATAATTTGATTGGTACAAATAAAGCCACTATCATGCTGAGGCATTATCCATGGAAGCAGAAAGGGGAATGTATGAGAGTTTGGTCATACCTGTGCTCTTATATGGATGTGAAGTATGGGTGGTGAATGTTGCAACAAGGAGAAGGCTGGAGGCAGTAGAGATGTTGTGTCTGAGGGCAATGTGTGGTGTGAATATAATGAAGAGAATCTATAGTTTGGAAACTAAGAGGAGGTGCAGGGTTACTAAAAGTATTACCCAGAGGGTTGAGGTAGTTCAAACATTTAGAGAAGATGGAATGAAATAGAATGACTTGGAGAGCATATTAATTCTGTAGTGGAAGGAAGGTGGGTTTTGTGTGTGAGGGGCTTGAACTTCCAGCAAGCATGCATGAGCATGTTAGATAGGAGAGAGTGGAGACAAATGTTTTTTAGGACTTGACATGCTGTCGGAGTGTGAGCAAGGTAACATTTAGAAAGGGATTCAGGGAAATTGGCAGGCCGGACTTGAGTCCTGGAGGTGGGAAGTACAGTGCCTGCTCTCTGAAGGAGGAGTGTTAATGTTGCAGTTTTATGACTGTAGTGTAAGCATGCCTCTGGCAAGACAGTGATGGAGTGACTGATGATGAAATTGTTTCTTCTTTTCTGGCTCACCCTACCTTGGTGGGGAACAGCTGATGTTCTATTAAATAAAAAAATATATTTATTTTTATTTTTTATTAACACATCAGCCGTTTCCCACCAAGGCAGGGTGGGTCGAAAAAGAAATACTTTCATCATTCACTCCATCACTGTCTTGCTAGAGGCATGCCTACACTTATTCGAAGGCCTAAACCCACATGAGTCATTCAGCACAAGGCATAGTTTACAAGACATACAAACTAAATGCTGTCAGGTCTTGATTATTTGAGACAATGAATACTGTCCCATTCTAACACTCATTGGTACTGCTATACTGTCAAACACTGTGCTTGGCAAATGTGTCTCTCAAAACTTGCATAAATGTGAAAATTTAAACTACAATGGTGAGTTTATTAACCCTTTGACTGTCGCGGCCGTATATATATGTCTTACGAGGTACCGTGTTTGATGTATATATACTCATAAATTCTAGCGGCTTCAAATCAAGCAGGAGAAAGCTGGTAGGCCCACATGTGAGAGGATGGGTCTGTGTTTTCAGTGTGCACCATATAAAAAAAAATTCTTGAACACGAAGTGCATAATGAGAAAAAAAAAAAACGACCGTTTTTTTAATTAAAATGCCGACTTTGTGGTCTATTTTCATATAGTATTTATGGTTGTAGTCTCGTTTTCTTGGTCTTATTTGATAGAATGGAAAACATATTATAGAAATAGAGGTGATTTTGATTGATTTTACTATAAAAAGAACCTGGAAATGGAGCTCAAATTAGGGGAAATGTTTGATTTTTGCCAATGTTCATGAGTAAACAAATGATGTCATTGTCCAATAAATGTCCAACTAGCCATTCTAATATGTAGTCATGAATGGGTTGATGTTATTCATACAATTATTACAGTATTGCAGTAGTCTGCATAATAGTAAGTCTTCTATTTTTTGTTTGAATAAAAATTCAAAATAGAAAGCAAGAGTAATATCACAGCGGCCTGGAGACATGACTGATAAACAAAGAAAATGTTATTTTAGAGCCAGGAATGTCTGCATTGTCCATTCTGGACCTTATTTTGAAATTGTCATATTTTTTATTTTTTTTGAAATTGGCCAAATTGCAAATTTCTCACCACATTATTGGGTAGTTGAAATCGGTAAATGGGCAGTTTCTTGTACTCAATCGATAGAAAAAATGGAGTTCTAAAGAAATAGCTATGAGTTTGGTCGACTGGCACAATGGAATTAGCCGAAAATAGGGCTCAAAGTGGGCGAAATCGCCGATTTGTAAATATCGCCGAGGCCACTAACTTCGCAAGAGCATAATTCCATCAGTTTTCCATCAAATTTCATTTTTTTTGGCGTCATTACAATCGGGAAAAGTTTCTCTATCATTTCATAAGAAAAAATAATTTTTTTTTTTTAAATTTTGCGACACCAGGAGACACCTCAGGATTGGGGGTTGCGACAGTCAAGGGGTTAAAGAAACGATCTTACTGTCAGGTGAGTATTAAATATGTTCCACTCAGACCATCCTAAACTAAGCATTAAGGTCACTTCAGTAGAAGACGCTAAAAATTTACAGGAAGATATAAGCAGTCTTGTATAAATCCAGGGAAGAGGTAACCTCCATATCAACACTCAGAGTTTTTCCCGAAACACTAATTAATGTGGGTGTAATACTGATAGTGGTGGATGGAGTAGTCATGGTGAATACTGATAGTGGTGGATGGAGTAGTCATGGTGGTCGGTGGAGTGGAGTGGTGGGTGGAGCAGTGAGGGTGGTGGGTGTAGTAGAGATGGTGGTGAGTGGAGTAGTGAGGGTGGTGGATGGAGTAGTGATAATGGTGAGTGGAGTCGAGTTGAGGGTGGTAGGTGTAGTAGAGATGGTGGTGGATGGAGTAGTGAAGGTGGTGGGCAGAGTAGATATGGTGGTGGGTGGAGTAGAGGTGGTGGTGGATGGAGTAGTGAAGGTGGTGGGCAGAGTAGATATGGTGGTGGGTGGAGTAGTGAGGGTGGTAGATGGAGTAGTGATAATGGTGGGTGGAGTAGCTGGGTGGTGGGTGGAGTATACAACATTTCTTATTTATAAATACATTTTTCTTATTTAAAAACCTGTAATAAAAAAATTGGGGTGGTTTTTTGGGGGCTGGAATGGATTAATGACACTTCAGTTAATTTCAATGAGGAAAATTTATTTGATATATGAGCAAATTGAGTTACGAGCTCGGTCACAGAATGAATTAAACTCGTAAGTCAAGGTACCACTGTAATTATGTCAACTGACCTTTCTGTGAAAGGGTGGGTAATGAGAACCTTCAACACAAGGGAAATAATACCAGTGATGACACTTCAAATTGCTAGTGCTCCCTCATTTGGAATATTGCTCATTGTTAACAGCCCCATTCAGGGCATGAGAAATATCAGAGCTGGAACAACAACAGAGATTGTTTATGTCCCACATAGAGCCAGTAAAACATTTAAATTACTGGTAACTCCTTAAAGTTTTAAATGTGTACTCACTGGAGCAGAGGAGAGATACATGATAATATATACCTGTAAAGTACTTGAGGGCCTGGTCCCAAATCTGCACACTGCCATAACAACATACTGGAGTGAGAGATATGGGAGGAAGTGCATAATAAACCCAGCGAAAAGCAGGGGTGTGATGGACACAATAAGGGAACACTGTATCAACATCCGGGGTCCCAGATTATTCAACATCTTACCAGAAGATAATGGAGACATTGCTGGAACAAGTGTAGAAGTGTCTTCAAGAGGAAGCTGGACAAGTATCTTTACCAGGTGCCAGATCAACCAGGCTGTGATGGATATGTGGGGCGGTGGGCTACCAGCAGCAAGAGAATGGTTGACCAGGCTAGCACCAGACAAGCCTGGCCCATGGCCAGGCTCCAGACACTTGAAACTAATCAGAGGTATATCCAGCTCTGGGAAGCCAGCAGTCACTACTACCATGGCTTGCCATTAGTGACATAGTACCAAGTCCAGCACTGGTAAGCCAGTGGTTGCTTCTGCAGTGGCCTATTATATGTCCATGTTTTTAGACACCTTACTGTACCCAGAACACGGGTTCACCCCATTAGAAAGAAATGAGTCACCATGTGGTACATCTTTTTTTCCTTGGAGTGACATTGACAAACCAAGGCCTTCTTGTCCTTGATAGAATACATCCACATCAGAATTAATGTGCTTTTTATATACAGTGGAACCCCGGTTTTCGTCCAGTCCAATTATCGTACAATTCAGTTTTTGACCACTTTTATCAGCGAAATTTTCCCCGTTTTTGTACATCCACTCAGAAATCATCCATACCAGATGCGTCTGCCTGCCCACAGGATGCGGCTGCTCATACGTTTGTGACTCAGTCTGCCTTTGTTACTCGTTCAGTGGGCATTACTCCACGTGCTCATCCGAAACAAGACCTTCATCTGAAACAGCAACAGACCTTAGCTGAGGAAATTGCTTCAGAGGAGGAGGAAGGGAGAGGGAAGAATGTGCCTTCTTCAGCAATTAAGGACATTTGTGCAAAGTGGAGTGAGGTGCAAAGTTTTATGGAGAAATATCACCCTAACAAAGCTGTTTCAAGCCGTGTCATCAACATGTTCAATGACAATGCTGTGTCCCATTTTAGGCAAATCTAAGAGATGCCAGAAACAGGCCTCTCTGGACAGATTTTTTGTGCGACAGGGGTCCAGTGACTCTCGAGAAAAAAAGGTATATCGACAACACTTCTGCAAGCGGCAGGAGTCGATGTTGCCTTCAGGTGAGCATCCAGAGCCAACTTCATGGTCTTACATCTCGGTAAGTACTGACCCTAAATATTTTTTAATTCTATAACACGTAGAAAAATGTGCTCTTCATTTTAAAAGAAAAAAACAATTTTTTTATTTTTCAAAATATTCGGAGCGCCACGAGAGTGAATGTAGATCTGCGTTTGGACAGTTTAAGGATTAGACATGATATTGTTTACTATGACCCACTAGAAGACTTGGAAGTTTGCTATGTCCTTAGTGAATGCCACATTCATACAAATTCTAGTATCGCCTGCAAAGGATGATAGTGCTATGATATACATCTGTCAGATATGAGAAAGAGAATTTGGGGCAAGCATTATATCCTGGGGCACAAGATTCTCACTGTGACAAGCTCTGATTTTACTCTATTGAAGGGTGCATGTTGGATGTATTTTGATTTTTTTGTTACCCTACCTTAGTGGGAGACAACCAGTATGTTAAAGAAAAAAAAAAGATGTTACATATTCAATCTGTTGGAAGCCAAATAACTGATTGTGGGATAATGTTGGAAGCCTATTAACCGATAATTGGATAATGGGGGAAGCTGAATAACTGATCACTGGATAATGTTGAATGAATAAATGATTGCTGGTTAATGTTGATAGCTAAATACAGTAACCAACTGCTGGATTATGTTCTTCATTAATACAACACTGCTGTTACTATGAGTCTTGGTTAGATAATGGTACAAGATGACAAGTGGTAATTTAAAGAGAGGGGGAACCTTTAATTTATGTCATTTCACCCACAGTGGTGAATTGACATAAACATCAAATTAACATTATAAAATAAACATCATACTGTAAAATACAAATCTTTAAATAAATGTCATAAAATAAAGATAAATAACCATCATAGAACAGTCATCATAAAATCTTATAAAACAAACATAAAACAGCATCAGTTTTCCTTATGGTTTTAAGACAGAAAGCACAGTACTTTACATTATATATATGCTCTTTCTAATTTCTTGCATATATTTTGTGAAACCAGTTAGCTGGACTTGAGTCCTGGAGGTGGGAAGTACAATGCCTGCACTTTAAAGGAGGGGTTTGGGATATTGGGTGTTTGGAGTGACATCTAAACTGTTGTATCTGAGTGCTTCTGCAAAGACAGTGATAATGTGTGAATGATGGTGAAAGTGTTTCTTTCTTTTTTGAGTCACCCTCCCTCGATGGGAGACAGATAATGTGTTAAAAAAAAAAATTGTGGTAACATCTATTACCTAATTTCATGAATGTTATTAATCCATTTCATCGATTTGTGTTCCCCTTCCCACAGGCGGAGGACCACAGAATTTGCCCCCAAAATATCACACAGTAATTGAACTACCTAGTCGGAAAGGTGGCAGTCTTAAGCAAAAGAAATCTCCTTCAGGATGGAAAAGTATATTCAGTAAGGGACGCAGTGTACACAAGCACCCAAGAAAAGCATCGACACCAAGTGATATTCACCTGAATATCTCGGTAAGCTGCTTTTTTTTCAGGTTTGCCATGAAAGGACATTTATGCCTGTCTGTTTCTGCATATAGACAGGAACAGACACTAAGAGTCTTCCATATCTTGTGCACACATTTAATTTTGGGGGAGAATTTCAAGGACAAGGAGTAAATGGTATTAGATCAGGTGCTGAAGGAGTTGCTGTAATATCAGATTATCAACTATGGAAAGAGAAGTGGGTATAAGTTCATAAATTTAAGAATTATGTGGACAAGAATAAAGATGGGATATGAGAAGTGGATTCTAGTAAGTGTTTATGCATGGGGGAAGAGAGATATGCATTAGAGAATGTGCAATGAATTTTAAGCAACGTCAGAATTATTGTTGTGGGGGCCTAAATGCTAAAGTAGGTAAGTTTACAGTACCGAGGGTCAATAGAAACTGAGGGACTCTTAAATGAATTATATATAGAAAGGAGTTTGTTAACAAGTAATACCTATTTTTAGAAAAAATAGATGGTAAATATAAGTGATATGGGATATGGTACAATGATAACAGTTTGTTAGATTGTATACTAGCAGACAAAAGAGGTAATAGGTAGACTTACATGTTCTTGGAGGATCAACAGTGGTAGCTGTTGTATGAGTAAGAGATAGATGGTGTATATGAAGAATGGCTTCGTTGGGTAAGAGAGGAGTGGAAGTGAATGACCTAAGGAGACAGGGAAAGATATAAGCAACTGTTGGGAGAAAGGTGGGCTAGAGGAAATACAGGCAATGGGGAGGAGGTCAAAGAAGTAAGGGGTAAATTTAAGACTGCAATCCTGACAGAAGGGCAAATATAGGTGAGAAGAGGTCAAGATGGTAAGGGAGAAAAAAGTTAACATGAGAGACTTTTTTACATTGTAAAATAACAAAGATACATGGAAGGCAGGTTATAGGAACAAGAAAAGAGAGGGTAAGAGGGGGTGAGGGTGTGCAGAAGAGCTAATAAAAGAATGGGCAAATTGTTTCAGCAAATTTTGCTGAGAATAGAAGTAGTTTTGGAGATCATAAAAGTAAGAAAGCTTAAAGAGCCTAAAACAAAATAGGGGAATGGGAAGGTAGATGTACTGGAAAGCTGGAAAGGATATTCTGACTAGTTATTGAATGTTAATGATAAAGAGGCATTGATTTCAGGCATTGGGCAGGGAGGGTAGCATTATACAGAAATAAAGAAAGCCTGTGAAGTAGTGGGTTGAATGAAACAGGGTAAAGCAGCTGGACCAGATATAATTAAGACAGAGGTGCTAAAACAGCAGGTGGGGCACTAATATTTGAGTGGTTGGTGTATTTGTTCAACATATGCATGAAAGAAGGTAAAGTACCAAAGAATTGGCAGATAACATGCATAAGTTCCTTATATACATGGGACCAATGCATGCAGAGACAAGAGAATATATAAGAATTATAGTGGTATAAGCCTTTTGAGTATACTGGGTAAAGTGTATGGTAGAATTATTACTGAGAGAGGGGCTAGACATAGTAGGAGTGCATAGACATAGGGAAGATTTAGAAAGGGTAGGGGTATGTAGACCAAATGTTTACATAGAAGCATATAAGTGAGCAGTACTTAATGCTTTTTATGGATTTAGAAAACACATATGATACATTAGATAGGGAAGCAATGTGGCAGATGTTACAAATGTATAGAATAGATGGTAGGTTACCAAAACTAGTAAAGAGTATTTGTGTGTATAATGAGACTTAGGTTAGGGTACGTAGGAGGGAGAGGGACTATTTCTCAATGAAATGAAGACTTAGAGATGGGTGATATCACCATGGCTGTTTAACATTTTTATAGATGAAGTTGTAAAAGAAGTGAATGCAAGGGTGTTGGAGAGGGATGTGAGATTAAAAGGTGTTGGATTTGATGCTAAGTGGAGCTGTCACATTTGTTCTTGGATGATGACAGTCATTGGACTAACTTGGGATGGTGTGTAAAAGAAAGAAATTAAAAGCAAACTTAGAAAAGAGCAAGGTGATGAGGGGTAACAAAAAAGTCTAGGTAAGGATAGAGTGAATATCACATTAAAGGGAAAGAGTATGGTTGAGCTGTCAGCAGGCAGGTCTCTGAAAGATTAAATATCAGCAGACAGGTCTCTGGAAGATTAAAAATGAATCATAGAACAGAGGCATCTGTGGAAAGACACATTTATATGTCTTTTGAAATCTGTTAAATTGAAGGTTTACTGTATTCTCCAAGCTTGAATACCCTCTACAGTACATCATTTTAGTGGCTTTACCAGGTAGTTCTGCCCAAAATGATGTACATAATATAGGCTCTTCATACAGTATGGTATCCTGACCAAATATTAATTATGTATTTTCAGAATCTTAAAAAAGTTTGTATGTCTAGAAAAGTAATACAACAATGATAATTGTAACTTATTATTGTTAATAATATTATTAGTTTTTTGTATCCCTCCATTTTATCAGATTCCTGTGTTTTCCCCACCTACTGGCATTGGATGTCCTGCTGAATACCCACAACAGATCCTTTGCCCCAGTTCCCATTAACCCTCTCATGTGTTGATAATACTGTACAGGACTCAGTGGTGAATGAGGCAGATATTGCCCCTTCTTCTTCCAAGCGTCTCCGACCTGTCAAGTCAGTTGAATCCCTCATCTCAACCTCTGCCTCTCTGCACTCGAACAGAAATTCACAGGTTGGTGTAGCTGGCTTGGCACAAACAACCTGAAAATTTATAGTGCCAGTTTGCAACTGATCTCCTTTGTTTTCTCTTCACAGTTATTGGTTTATATATATCTTTTATTTATTTGGAAGTCTTCAGGGTGTGGGTGGGTGAGTTGGATCTGCCTAGCATGGCTCAGTAGGCCTGCTGCAGTGTTCTTCCTTTCTTATGTTCTTATGTCAAATACCGGTTAAGAGTGGGAGAGAGAGAGAGATGGGGTGTGGTACCCATATGAAAAAAATGACTGCAACTGAGCCATGTTTATATCAATAAAATTAACACATTGTGTACATACAGTAAGTACTGTATCGATATATCCAATATTCTCTCAGTTTAGCCCTGATTTTGTAAAATGGAGATAAGTAGCCAGGTGGTGTCTCAGGATCAGAACATGTGCACTCATAACCTGTGACTTGTTAGTGTATCACAAAATATGAGTTTAATAACTAAACTGATACACACTTTACATACGCAAGGTACTGTATTGACATTATATTAATTTTCCTCTCATTTAAACCTTGAATACTAAAATAAAGGGAAGCAGAGGATATACAAATCTTGAAGTCCATTCAAATTTGTATATAAACATTTCTAATATCCTTACAATTTAGCCCTGATGATACAGAGGTTATGAAAACTGCATGTAAAAACATTAGAACATCAATGAAGTACTGCAGTAGACTTACTGGCCCATGCTAGGCAAGTTGAACTCATACCCAACTATTTGTAAAGCTACCCAAAGTTTGGCGATAGTTGTAGATTTACACCCATATGTGAGGCCTCAAAATAATGTACCCCTCCCTGTCTCATGTCTGGGGTTAAGCAAAAAACTGATTTGAGAGATTATATCCCCCCTTCCCTGTCTTATGGTTGAGGGCAACTTATGCACTCATATCCAGTAATATACTGTACCAGACAATATGCATATGTTATCCTTGGAAGATACTTGAGGGTCTACTTTCAAATCCACACTTCTCTAACATACTCAGAGAAAGTGTATAATAGACCTAGTGAAAAGCAGGGATGTAATGGGCATAATAAGAAAACACTGTTAACATCTTTGGTTGAAGAATATTCAACCTGTTACCAGCATATATTGGAAATATTGCCAATACAGGTGTAGAAGTCTTCAAGAACACCTGGTTACCTATTTACCTGTGCAACAAGGAGCAATAGATTAAAGGATACTCAACAAAAGGCAGAACTTAGAACAGTTACAGACTTAATTATAGGCATTCACACTATGCCTTTATTAAAGTCCTTCAATCTACTGAATATTAATGCCATTTATACATACTAATATTCACTCCACATCTTTAAAACTCTACATTGTAATGCTGATGCTGACCAAAGACATTTCCTGGAAAATTGCAGCAGAACACACAAGCATGACACTGGAAACAAATAACTTTTTGATATGTCTTGTGTTTGTTTGAACATGTACAGCAAATTAAGGATAAAAATAAAGGGAAAATATGTGAAGTAACTTAAACAGACAAATTGAAAAATTGCAGTATAGTGAATTCAAATTAAAGCTTAAATAATTACTGTGTGCTGTATTAATACAATCTGATCCTTTATTATAATTTCATAAAACTACAATTCAACATTTTTCAGTTTGTCAGTTACACTTTTTAATCTTTAGTGTAAAATCTTCTGATTTCTATCTTTACTATTAACTTCCTGTCAGTACCTTGTACTAGACCCATAAGCTTGTAGTCTTTTAGTGTCAGCTAATCTTAGTCCTAGTCTAAGTCTGTCCAAAATGCTGTGCTTTCAGCTTATTGAACTGTATTTATGTATAATATGAATTAAAATATTATTATTATTATTATTATATTATTATTATTATTATTATTATTTGTATTTTTTTTATTATTGTATTTACATGCAACTGAGCCCTGCCTCTATGATTGTGAACCAAAGGACCCAGGCCTACTGACCTATAAACATTGATATCCTTTACTAGTCACTGGACACTTATACAAATAAAAGAGTGGGAAGAGTTTAATGTCAAGACTTAACTATTTACATTATGAGGCAAAATTTGATTAATAGATTTGTAAATAAATGAATAAATGAGAGTATGAATGTGTGTTGAAGCAAAAAAAAAAAAAAAAGTGCACATGAAGCAACCAAGGGTACATCTGGAATGCCATACCTCATTCACATTGATACTTGCCTTTCTAAGCACCAATAATGGCACAGCTCATGCTTTTGCACTGTTTTAAATCATCCTTAATCTCTGTGTTGCTGGTTGCTTGTTGTGGGCAATGCCATCTCCCTAAATCTCCATTTGGCTATCTAAACACAGCAGCTGGGGGTTGTGGTGCAAAGAATGAGCCTCCCAAGGCTCCTTATGTGGAAATGTATTCGACTTGCTTTAAGACATGTTATTCTGCAATCAGGGCAACAGGAAAGCCTCCCCTAATTATATCACTAGCACTAAGATAAGGAGGAGGCAGCTGATGATCAGAGGCAAAATCCAGTGGGCCTCACATTGACCACAGCACATTCAGAGGGGAAAGGAAATTTACCAGACTGCTGATAAGTGTCCCTGCCAGTGCTCTGAAGTGAGGATCTTTGTACATGGACTTGAGCAAAGTTAGCATTGGGAAGCAAATGTGAGCAGTAACAGCATTTTTTCATGGCCAGGACAACTATGCACCAGAACCATCAACAAACAGTAGGCAAGAAAACATGTGCAGTCACAAATGAAAAGACTGTAAATAGCAAAAAAAGGCATTCATGGATGGCTCATATATATCAGTCTTATTTTAGGAGGCAATGCCCCATGTGGCTACACAGGAAGGTAACTCAGAATCTAGACTATAAACTAGAAAAAATATTCTACAGTGACTAATGACCTGTATAGGCCCAGAGACATTTGTCTGTGTTTAAGAGCTTAGTTTCACTGGATTGGAACAATGCCGTCTGTGAAGGAGGTCCAGGAACGAAAAACAGCCTATTTTCTGGAGAAAGCACTTTGATGATTGTGTAGGCAACCCAATGTGTCCACAGCAGGAGGTGATGGCATGTGGCCTGGATGGTCAGTCCAAAACTATAATTTGTATCAAAGGCCCTGGGACACCAGAAGGGACATCACAAAATATGGCGCAGGACTACAGGAGGAGGCATGCTCCCTATATCAGCAAAGCAGTGAAAGCAGACATTATAATTATTATAATCAAAGAGCACTAAATCGAAAAGGGTCGTGTGAAAGCAGACCAAATGTTCAGGAGCCAGGATCAGGCTAACCTCTTGAGCGAACACTTACAGTGTCAAGAACCAGAGTTGCAGGGAATACCATGATGCTAAATATGAAATAATGTCTTGAAGCAAATATGAAGGTGGGAAAAGAAAATAATTTGTACCCCCCACCAAACAAGGGACAGTGTCCAACATGGAAATACCCTGGTCAACATTAGAAGAATATATACAGTGGACCCTCAACCAGCGATATTAATCCGTTCCTGAGAGCTCATCGTTAGTCAAAATAATCGTTAGTCAAGTTAATTTTCCCCATAAGAAATAATGGAAATCAAATTAATCCGTGCAAGACACCCAAAAGTATTGAAAAAAAAAATTTTTACCACATGAAATATTAATTTTAATACACAAACTGAAGATTACATGCACAGTTACATGACACTTACCTTTATTGAAGATCTGGTGATGATTGATGGGATGGGAGGAGGGGAGAGCGTTATCTTCTTACTGTTTAGAAGGGGAATCCCCTTCCATTAGCACTTGAGGCAGCAAGTCTTTTTCTGGGGTTACTTCCCTTGTTCTTTTAATGCCACTAGGACCAGCTTGAGAGTCATTGGACTTCTGTCGCACAACATATCTGTCCATAGAGGCCTGTACCTCTCGTTCCTTTATGACTTTCCTAAAGTGGTTCACAACATTGTCAGTGTACAGGTTGCCAACACGGCTTGCAGTAGCTGTGTCAGGGTGATTATCATCCATAAAGCTTTGCACTTTAAGCCACATTGCACAGATTTCCTTAATCTTAGAAGTAGGCAACTTCTTCAATTTCTCTCTCCCCTCCTCCGAAGCAGTTTCCTCAGGTCTGCCCTCTTGCTGTTCAAGATGATCTAGCAGCTCATCAGTGGTTAGTTCTTCACTGTCCTTCACCATCAACTCTTCCACATCCTCCCCACTAACCTCCAACCCCAAGGACTTCCCCAATGCCACAATGGATTCCTCAACTGGTATAGGATTCTCAGGGTTAGCCTCAAACCTTCAAAATCCCTTTTGTCTACACATTCTGGCCACAGTTTTTTCCAAGCAGAGTTCAATGTCCTCTTAGTCACTTCCTCCCAAGCCTTACCTATAATGTTTACACAATTGAGGATGGTAAAATGATCTTTCCAAAACTCTCTTAGAGTCAGTTGAGTTTCTGAGGTCACTACAAAGCACCTTTCAAACATAGCTTTTGTGTACAGTTTCTTGAAGTTGGAAATAACCTGCTGGTCCATGGGCTGCAGGAGAGGAGTGGTATTAGGAGGCAAAAACTTCACCTTAATGAAGCTCATGTCCCTAGAAAGTCGCTCTGCCACATCTGTAGGATGACCAGGGGCATTGTCTAATACCAGGAGGCACTTAAGGTCTAATTTCTTTTCAATTAGGTAATTTTTCACATCGGGGGCAAATGCATGGTGTAACCAGTCATAGAAAAAGTCCCTAGTGACAATTAAACACTTGTTCAGGTTTCAGTCCTTCACTGTCTATGTACTCCTTGAATTCCTGCACATATTTTTCAGCTGCTTTGTGGTCCGAACTGGCAGCCTCACACTATGTATGCCACTACGCTTCTTAAATCTCTCAAACCAACCTTTGCTGGCCTTAAATTCACTCACATCACTAGTTGCAGGCATTTTTTTAATTAAATCCTCATGCAACTTCCTAGCCTTTTCACTTATGATCACTTGAGAGATGCTATCTCCTGCTATCTGTTTTTCATTTATCCA